CAGGGAGCCGCCTGGTTTCACCATGAATTTCGAAGGCCTCGACCCGGCCCTCGCCGACTACGCGCCCACGCTGCACGCGGCGCTGGAGCCCGTGCTGGACCCGCACCTGGCGCCCAGCCTGCTGCAGAACGTGGAGCTCGACGCCGACGGGGTGCCCTTGGAGGGCATCGCCGTGCCCGAGTCCGTGCACATCGTGGAGGGCATGTACAGCGAGCTGCACACGGCCGTCTCCGACGTCGGTGTGCCCGTCTCCGTCTCCCACTTCGACCTGCACGAGGAGATGCTCTGGGTTGGGAATCACGGGGTAGGTGTCCCTGGGAGGGAAAGGGCTCCATGCGGCTCCTCGCTTGCCCGCGTGGCCCCTGCTGGCTCTGAGTCATCACCGTCCCCTGTGGCCTTGGGCAGAGGACGGTTCTGCTTGGGACAGAGCCGGAGCCACGGAGCCGTGCTCAGAAACCGGGAGTTGTGCCCTTGTAATGGAGCTCCTGCGTGGAGGAGCCGGAACTCCATTCAGGAGCACGGGAAGCCCTCGGGGTCTTTGGCCACAGGGGACCCTGCAGGTGTTTCCTGAGCGGCTTTGCTGTCCTCAACTCTTGGGCTGCTAAAGCTTCCTGTTCTTTCCTCATGTCCATATGTGTTACCCAAAAATCAAGAGTTTGAGCAATTTACCCTGTTTTGGGGTTCGTAACAGCAGGATTTGTAAAAGAAGCCTCTTCGCTGGCTGAAGCAGTGAGGTAGCTGCCTTGAGGGCAGGGCACCATGGCAGCTCCGCGTGTCCCCTTCGAGTAGAGCTCAGGTGGGCGATGCTGCTTGGTGACGGGTCTGTCCTGCCCCGATCTCAGGGCCACGCCACCTCGTTCTTCGGTCCGACGCTGGAGCGCTATTCCTCCTTCCAAGTGAACAGTAACGACGACATCCGCCAGATCCAGAGCCTGGAGAACGGGGTCCTTTTCCTGACCAAAACCAACCTGAAATATATGTCAAGAGGGGGGCTCATCATCTTTGACTACCTGTGAGTGTTTTGCCCTGGCAATAGGTGGGTTATCCTGGCCCAGCGCCGGGGAGAGGAGGCAGCGGCAGCTCCTGGTCCTGTTTGTAGAGATGTTTCTGGCCCCTCTGCCTGCAGTAGAGAAGCTGGACATGGGAGGAGGATGAGGGTGGTCTCGGCCCCTTCCCTGGCACGTCCCGGAGCTGAGCGGGGGCACAAGGCCTGTCCTTTCCCTCTCCTTTAGCATGGATGAGTCCGAGGACATGCACAGCCTCCTGCTCACGGACAACAACACCCTGCTCGTTGGCGGCCTGCAGAACCACGTGCTCGAGATAGACCTCAACACCGTCCAGGAGACGCAGAAGGTAGGGCCAGGCCTCTGGCTCTGCTCCCTGGCTCGAGGGAGCATCTTGCAGCACGGAGGCTCCGCTCCCAGTGTCACGGTCCGTGTGACGGGGGCTCTGCCCCGGCGCTCTGCCCCGCTCACCCGGCGGCTCTCGTGTTTCCAGTACACCGTGGAGGTCCCCGGCATCACCATCATGCGGCAGTCAAACCGCTTCTTCTTCTGCGGGCACACGTCAGGGAAGGTACGGCCCGCACAGCCTCCCTGGGGCTCTGTGCCGCTCTGCTTCCCTCCGGGACACCCCGGAGCTGACGTCCGGCTTCCTCGGAGGCTCCCGCCTTCCCTTCGCAGGTCTCCCTGCGGGATCTGCGCACGTTTGTGGTGGAGCACGAATTCGATGCCTACTCGGGCAGCCTGTCCGACTTCGACGTGCATGGCAACCTGCTGGTGACCTGCGGCTTCTCCAGCCGCATGAACGGCTTGGCCTGCGACCGCTTCCTCAAGGTGTACGACCTGCGCATGATGCGGGCCACCACGCCGCTGCAGGTCCACATCGACCCCTTCTTCCTGCGCTTTATCCCCACCTACACCTCCCGCCTGGCCATCATCTCGCAGACAGGTGGGTGACGCTGTGGGAGCTGCCCTTCCAGAGGGACGTGGGTGACGGTCTCGGTGCCCTCCGGGCTCAGGCTCAAATCCCAGTGGGATATGGTCGGCCGAGCGCCCCCCATCCGAATTCCCGTGCTCGCTGCCGCTTTGTGCTCCCTGGTGCCAGGCAGCTCTGCCCTTCCCTCTCGCCCAGGTCAGTGCCAGTTCTGCGAGCCCACAGGCCTCGCCAACCCCGCCGACATCTTACACGTGAACACGGTGGGGCCGCTGATCATGACGTTCGACGTGTCGGCCAGCAAGCAGGCCCTGGCGTTCGGCGACTCCGAGGGCTGCGTGCACCTCTGGGCCGACTCCCCCGAGGCCACCTTCAACGCCTACTCGCGGGAGACCGACTTCGCCCTGCCCTGCATCGTGGACACGCTGCCCCACCTGGACTGGAACCAGGACCTCGTGCCGCTCTCGCTCATCCCCGTGCCGCTGACCAGCGAGACGCTGCTGTCGGACTGGCCAGCTGCCAACTCTGCCCCCGCGCCCCGGTAATCTGCCAGGCTCCTCCTGTGCGAAAGAGCTGGTCCCAGCAAGGAGCTGCCCCTTCGCTGCCCCTCGGCGCGGCCGGGCGCCCTGGCGAGGCAGGGCTGGGGCAGAGGAGAGGCCCCGAGGAGCAGCGGCGGGGGCACTGCCGCCCCTGCCAGCTGGCAGAGCCCTTGTGCTCGCAGGATGTGCCCTGTGCCTAGCGTCACCGCTGAGGTGACAGGACGGGTCTGCAGGGGACAGTCAACCCCTGTCCGTGGTGGGGAGATGCTGCTTCCATCCCGGTTATGTCCCGCGCATCTGAAAATGGTTTTCCTTTCTCTTTGACTGACCCCTATGTTAAACGAGCTAAGCAGTGCTGCTGGGATCCGGCCAGCCCAGGTATTGGTTATAGCAGAGAGGGAACATTCCCGGGGGGAATGACTGAGCGGGAGCAGCCCTCCTGTCCCACCCTGAGCCAGCGCAGCGCGTGTCCCTGCAGCAGGGCCTTCACTGCAGCAGTGCCAAGCGGGGCAGCCCCGAGTCACGCTGTGCTTTGCAGGCGGGCCCCTCCGGTGGATCCTGAGATCCTGCGCACCATGAAGAAGGTGGGATTCATCGGCTACGCCCCGAACCCTCGGACCAAGCTCCGCAACCAGGTAGGCGCCGCTGGAGGCTGCAGGTCGGCTCGGCGGGGCGCAGCCGTGGGGACCTGCAGCGTCGCGGCTGCACTTCGGGGACGGACGATGCTCTCGCTGTGCTGAATGAGCCCAGAGCCTTCCGCGGGGCTCGGGGGTGAAGCTCCGTAGCTCGGAGGTCTGGTTTGGACCTCACTGCCTTCCTTCGGCAGCGTCGCTGGGGGAACTGGCCGTTGGGAAACGCTGGAGTCCCCCTCTTGGGCCAGGTCCCATCACTAACTCGCGCTCTGCTAGGGAAAGCTCTGAGCAGTCCAGCTGGGAGGTTTATGGCACGTCCCTCGCCCTTGGGAAAACACTGCTGTGTTTCATCCCTGCCCGCGGTGCTGCTGTAGTTTCCCGCGGTGATGAATCCCTTGCAAGAAGGAAGGTGTGGAGGCTTCGTGCAGGTTAAGGGAGGGCCCCACTCCCTTCTGGTTTATTCCTTTGCTCATTCGAGGAGGCAGGAAAGCCCAGGAGCTGCTCGTTTCAGTACTTGCTGCGTCACGTACGCTCTGCCTCACGGTGCTGCTCTCTTTCCCCTCTCTTCCCTCTTGCAGATTCCCTATCGATTAAAAGAGCTGGACAGCGAGTTCGACAGCTTCAGCCAAGTCCCCGAGTCCCCGATAGGGCGGGAGGAGGAGCCGCACCTCTACATGGTGGCCAAGAAGTACAGGAAGGTAAGTGCAGGAAGGTGCCGGCCCAGCCGCAGGGGCACGGCGAGGAGAGGGGCTGCCTGCGAGACCTCGAGCAGCCGGGGCAGAAACAGAGCCGACCTGCGCGGGCCGGAGCCGCTGCCCGCGGCGCCGCGGGGAGCACCCCCGTGTTTCGCGTTTGTGTGACATGCTGCGTTTTCACTCAGGTCACTATCAAATACTCCAAGCTGGGCCTGGAAGATTTCGACTTCAAACATTACAACAAGACGTTGTTCGCGGGCCTGGAGCCCCATATCCCCAACGCCTACTGCAACTGCATGATCCAGGTGGGAGATGTCCCGGCTCCGCCGCAGGCTGCTGCAGCGCTCCGGAGCCTCCCCTGACTGCTCTGGCTCTGCCAGGTGCTCTATTTCCTGGAGCCGGTCCGCTGCCTGGTCCAAAACCACCTGTGCCAGAAGGAGTTCTGCCTGGGCTGCGAGCTGGGCTTGCTCTTCCACATGCTGGACCTGTCCAGAGGAGACCCGTGCCAGGTCGGTGGTGAGCTGAGGGGGTCGGGAAGCTGGCACGGGGCAGGGCCGGGAGACTCCCGCTCTGGGAAGCAGGAGCGGGGTGGAGCTGGACCTCAGCGGATGCATCAGACCGTTTAGAAACTCCTGTCATTTGACCTCTGTGACGTGTCACCCCCTGCCCCATCCCCAGGGAAGCAACTTTTTGCGGGCTTTCCGCACGATCCCAGAGGCTTCTGCTCTGGGGCTGATCCTCGCTGACTCGGACGAGGCCACGGGGAAGGTGAACCTGGGGCGCTTGATTCAGAGCTGGAACCGGTTCATCCTCACGCAGCTGCACCAGGAAACCCAGGAGCAGGAGGCACCGCAGGCCTACCGGGGGGCTGGCAGCGGGTGAGTGCTCTGGCTCCCAAAGGCCCCATCCGTCCCTTGGGAGACATTTCCTGCTGCCTACATTCGCCCGAGGGCTGTGCTGAGCTGCGGGCTGCTCCTACAACAGGATTTGAATCCTGTCTCGAGACACCGCAGGAGCCCAGCGCTCAGCCCCGGTGCTGCCAGGACCCTGCTAACCCACGAGCTCTCTTCCTGCAGCACCTTCGGGACCTCAGGGGACTCGGTTATCGGGCAGCTGTTCAGCTGCGAGATGGAGAACTGCAGCATGTGTCGCTGCGGCAAGGAAACCGTCCGCGTGTCCTCCACGCTGCTCTTCACTCTCTCCTACCCGGAGAGCGCTGGTAACGGCAGGGCCGGGCGGGCGGGCAGGGCCCGGCGTCTCTGTCGCTGCTGCGGCTCTCCCGGGGCAGAGAGGCCGAGCCGGGGCCGTGGCCGTGCGCATGGGCCGCGTTTCTGCAGGTAGCAGAGCGAGATGTTTCCTCTGCTGGCTGGCCTGGGCTGTGTCAGAGCCAGCACCCAAGGCCTGGTTGTGGGTTTCCAGCCAGCCAAGGTTTTGGCTACAGAAAGGCAGTTTTGGGGCTTGACCTTCTCCCTGGTGGTTGCGAGGAAAACCCCAGAGGTTTGGCTGAGCTTAATTGGTAAAGAGCCGCGTGCTGGAAGGTGACGTTATTCTCCTTTCTCCCGCTAGAGAAGCCAGTGAAAGATTACGAGTTTGCCCAAATCTTAAAGCGAAGCATCTGTTTGGAGCAAAGCACGCAGGCCTGGTGCGAGAACTGCGAGAAGTACCAGCCCACGGTGAGCCTGGGGGCAGGATGGGAGTGCTGCAGAGGGGCTGCAAGCCAGCGTGCCGTGGGGTATTCCCTGCGCTGGACACAGCTCCTGCGCATCCCGCCTACATCCCCCTGGAAACACGTGGGAACTCCCTTGGGAGCAGAGCACAGCTGCTCCCAGGAATTCCCGGTGGTCCTGGAGAGGCAAGGGGCTGCTCCCAGCCCTGCTCTCCGTTACAGGAGCCCGGCTAGGAGGAACCCTGGCCAGGCAGCAGGGAGGAACCTCTCCAGGGTGGCACATGCCAATCCAGACTGGAGCTTCTCTTGGCTCTTGGTGTTGCCCGGCGTCCATCTCCCGTTCTCTCTGCAGGTCCAGACCCGGAATATCCGCTGTCTGCCAGACGTCCTGGTCATTAACTGTGAGGTGAACAGTTCCAAGGAGGCAGATTTCTGGAAGACCCAGGCCGAGGTGGGCGAGACACTTTGGGGCAGACGCAGGCTTGTCCCCTTGTCCCCCTCTGCTCTGCGGAGGCCCCGCTCTGCTCTTGCTGTCTGTAGCGTCTCTTGCTCTCTACTCAGACTCGCTGTACTCTGTTTGCAGAGGACACCTGGGTAATTGGTCGTGCTTGTAGCACGAGCTGTGCGTTTGGAGTCGGAAAAGACAAGATCTGCCATGATAAAGCTGACAGGACTCCAGTAGACTCACTCTGTCGTTTCCCCAGTTTCCCAGGACCTAGGAGCAACGAGACAGTGCCCGTTTCCCAGAACACAGAGCCTGGCAGAGAGCTGATGGACAGCTGGGTTTCTCTTGCTGATTCTGTCCCTGTCACTGACTTCTAAAGTCCCTGTCTGTCCCTCACTGCTGCTCTGGGCTGTCACCTGCGTGTTCCCAAGCACAGCCGCGCTCCGTGCTGACGCTTGCCTGTGTTTCGTTGCCAGTATGCCTTTCAGAGAGCCCTGTTGAAGAGAGGAGGCTTTGAGATCTCCAGAGGCAAAGAAATCTCTCTTGGTGAATGGTAGGTATCTGCTTTTGGGGTGGCGACCCTAGGTGGACACTGACACCCTCGGGGGGTTCCTCCTGGCCTTGGGGAGCTCAGAGCTCCTTCTTCTCTGATAAAGTCATTATTTGCCCTTCTGTAGCTCCTTGTGGGCTCTAAACTGGAAGAGCCATTGCCACTTTTGAATCCCTTTCCCTTTTCTGACTAAGAAAAGATCCAGGACTGAGTATCTGCCCTCTTGGGCTGACACTAACGGACGCCTTTTCCCAGACCCTTCTCACAGCAGCTGGTGAGAAGTGGTGCAGCTCTGGCTCTGTCCTTTATAGCAGTAAGAACAGGCTGAGCCCTGTGTGGCTTGGGCAGTTTGGATCCTGCCCAGGAGCAGGTGGCATGAAAAACCCACCTGTGATTCCTTCCACCGGGCAGGAAGGAGCTGGGGAACCCCGACATGGGGCATTCGTATTCTTCTGTGGAGGAACTGAAGAACATTTGGATCCCCCACGCCATCAAGATGAGGCTGACCAAGAACAAGGAGCTGGACATCTGCAACTGGAGTGAAAACGATGAGGTAAAGCCTGCCGAGATCCACACAAGGCCGCGCGGCTGCGTGCGCTCGGGGCCGTGGAAGCAGAGCTGCTGGAGCCCCTGTTCTCCTGGCTCCATGGGGGTGAGAGAAGGGCCCTCGTGTGGGCCCTGCGGCTCCAGCATGGCTGGCCAGGGAGCCCTTGGGCTCGCGGTGCCACCCGCTCCGGGCTTGGCGTTGGCATTGTGTGAGCTGCCCGCGGGCACCGCTGCTGGGCTCGGTGGCTTCCCCGCGGCTGCTTCTTCCCTGCAGCTGAGCCCCTCCGATGACCCCGACTCCGTGTACATCTACGACCTGATGGCCACCGTCGTTCACATCCTGGATTCCCGCACGGGGGGCAGCCTGGTGGGGCACATCAAGGTGGGAGAGACCTACCACCAACGCAAGGAGGTGAGCGGCCGCGCCGGCAGCGCTGCCCTGGGGAGCCCAGCGCGCTCAGGGATCGGGCAGCGTCCCTGAGCTGTTCCTGGAAACCGCTGAATTGGTTAGGTGATTTATCAGGTACAGCCAGGAAACCAAGTGCTTCCCGTGCAGCTTACGGAGAGGAAGGGCCTAAAGAATCGCTCTTCCCACACTCCCTGCAGCCAGTTCCTCCCCGCGTGTCCTTGTGCCTCCAGGTCAGGGTTGGGACCTCATCCCCCTTCCAGAGGAAAGGGGGGTCGGTCTGGGCAGTTCCCTCTGAGCTGGTGGCGATGCCAAGGCAGGAATCCCCGGCGTGTGCAGTGGCAGGGCTGTGTCCGTCGCTCTTATCTGTTACATCTCCATGGAGTTTCGGGTAGGAGTTGGGCAGAGCCTCTGCCCGTGCAGGCTCAGGGCGCTTCGTTTACACATCTTTACACATCACCACGCTCAGGCCAGCAGGGATTTCCCCGCCGTGTCCCAGGAAGGGCGGGAGTTCCCACATGGCATCGTCACCCCCTTTCCCTGGTAACTGGCTAGAGGAGTCATAGAATCATAGAATCACAGAACCACTGAAGGTTGGAAGGGGCCTCTCGAGGTCACCTAGTCCAACCCCTGCACACGCAGGGTCACCTAGAGCACGTGGCACAGGGCTGCGTCCAAGCGGGTTTGAAGATCTCCAGAGAAGGAGACTCCACAACCTCTCTGGGCAGCCTGTTCCAGGGCTCTGGCACTCTCACTGGGAAGGAATTTTTCCTTAAGTTCCTATGGAACTTTTGGTGCTTCAGTTTCCGGCCATTTCCTCTAGTTGTGTCGGTGGCCACCAGTGCAAAGAGGCTGCCCCATCCTCCTCACTGCCTCCCTTGAGGTACTTCTAGACACTGCTCAGGTCCCCTCTCAGCCTTCTCTTCTCCAGCTGAACAGGCCCAGCTACCTCAGCCTCTCCTCACAGGGCAGATGTTCCAGGCCCCTGATCATCCTTGTAGCCCTGCGCTGGACTCTCTCCAGCAGCTCCACATCCCTCTTGTCCTGTGGGGCCCAGAACTGGCCACAATACTCCAGAGTCATTGTACTTGCTCGGGGGGTCCCTGATTCGGTGTGCCTGTCCCCAGGGGGTCACACACCAGCAGTGGTACCTCTTCAACGACTTCCTCATCGAGCCCGTGGACAAGGTAAGCGCCGGGGGCGGCCGGGGCGCTGCCACCGTGGCCGGGAGGAGCGGGGGTGGCTCCTGGCACACAGCGCCCTGTGCCGAGGTGACACCGTGGGACCCTGCGAGGGAGGGAGGCGGCTGGTGCTGCGCCGCCTCCTGCCCCTGCGTCCCCCGCAGTGCGAGGCCGTGCAGTTCGACATGAGCTGGAAGGTGCCCGCCATCCTGTACTACGCCCGGAGGAACCTCAACGCCAAGTACAACCTCGTCAGTGAGTGCCGGGGCTGGCAGGGGCCGCGCGGCCGCGGCTCCCCCCCCAGCCCCAGGCGCCT